ATTTTTGAAAAAACACAAAATTCACGATACTTTTTGAACAGACCTCGTAAATGAGAATATAAGTTTTGATTTGATACTCATTTTTTTTGATATATAATTAATTCTTCATCCATATGAGTAAATATCTCAATCAATTAGAATAAATTTGTTTCTCTGACGGTGGAGTCACATTAGATTCACTTTTCAATTTCAAACGAAAAATTCACTCGACGAGTCGGAGTGTGGAAAATTCGCTCTTTATATTTGCGAAACATCGTTCGAATTCGAATAGCTTGGCTGTCGCTTTAATTCCAAGAGAGACTCCGACGGGAAAAATTTCGAAGATACATACCACAAAAAATAACCAGACCATGTGGCAATTGTTGAGAAACGATTCGCCGGCGGTGTGATTCTTCTGCAACGGCCAGATAGAGATCAGTTTGGAGGCCATTCGGACGGGCTTGATGAAATTATCGTATTCGTCATCGACATATTCTCGACTCTGCATCGCTTCTTTTGGCGGTGTCCTATGATTGGCCCGCGGTACCTGACGACGTGACCGCGACCCACGACTTTCCACGACTGCGGAAAAGCCGGAAGTTCGAGGTCGATCGAAACCTTCTTCGGCGATCTCACCGGCGGCGAAATGCGAACATGCCACGAAGGTGCCAATCTTCCCCTCCCCGCCATTTTCGAAATTTGATAAAATGCGACGATAGGATAACAACCAGATATCATAGGTAGCATAAATGCCCGAAGTTCTGAACTCTCGCTAACGATGGGGTATAAACTTCCCCTCGGTCACGCATAGACGTCGGCTTATTTTTCTTTCCGCGCGAATAAAAAAAGAAAAGGAGGAGTCTCCTTCTCTTTTTCCCCGCAAATAAAATTCTCTTGCATTATTGCGCGGACATTTATCATCGAAATTATTCCAGTGGAACGCGATATTTTCTCGGATGTGCGAAACACTGTCGCGGAACGATAAAAGACGGATCGGTGTTACTTTCTTCGCTGCGTGGGTCAACGTTAAAGCGGGGTCTACAATGAGAATTCAAGATCTAAACCTTAAGAAATTACGACCAATCAGAGTCGAATTTCAGGAGAATATTCGATTGTGATTGGCCAATTTGTTAAGGTTTACAGCTTAAATTTTCATTGTAGACCCTGCTTAAGTCCCAGTCAACGATAAATGTTTTAAGCTCTAAACCTTAAGAAATTGACCAATCATAGTCGAAGAAAAATGAAGAATATGAAGAAAAATCAATTATGATTGGTCAATTTCTCAAATCATATGTCTTAAATTTTCATTGTAGACTCCGCTTAAGGTGGACGAGAGTGGTCACGTAACAAGTTCCACGCCAGTGTCTTCGGGGTAGCGTGTACTTGCGAATATTCCGTGTAATCATCCCCCAAGCGTGTAGAACATAGCAGCGTGATGGACTATACTCTATTCTATCTCGCTAAATGATTTTCGACTTTATTATGGGAAAGCACTGAGGATATCTGCGTCAAAGGATGTTCTACACTTCGTGTTAGAAGCGAAGATAGAAAGAGAGAAAGGAAATTGTATAGGAGAATACGATAAAAAATATACAGGACGTTAGAGAATCAGACCGACAAACTTTGAAGAGAAATGGAGGACTTCGAAACATACATTTTTTGTTTTAGGATTGATTGTCATTGATTCGTGACGTCATAGGAGAGAAATGACACGTTGAGAAATATTACGTGCTATTTGCAAAAGATACTTGGACAAAACAACACTTGAAATCGCTTAAAAACGCCTATAAAAATGAATGAGATCTCTCCTTTTCCTTGCTGACGGTCAATAAATAGCCGTAAAAGGTAATATTTTATATACGTTGTTAAACTGTTACTTGATAATATTCGATACTCGGATTAGCTATTCGGGATTCGGACGCGTAACAACATATTGCAACACCAATAAAGAAAATCTTGGAGAGACTCGGATGGGATGTCTTACCTCGCCACTCTATTCACCAGACGTTGCTTCTTCAGATTACCATTTGTTTCACTGCAGCCTTTCTGAGCAGCACTTCAGTTTTTTCGAAAATATTTCAAAAAATAGCTTGTTGACTGGATCGCCTCGAAAGAACTTGAATTTTTCTTCTGCGAAATCCATGTGTTACCCGGAAATTGGGAAAATTTATGTAGCTTCCGAAGGACAATACTTTGGATAAGTTATAATATACCGTTCTTTTGAAATAAATATGAGTTTTTAGAACGAACCACAGCGAGAATTAATTCAAGCACTTAATATTTATATTTGGTTGTCCTATAAACTTCTTTCGCATATGCGTATAAACACTTTATCATGCAGTGTTTATATAAACGTACGGGCTTATAGGTTAAGTGTTAATGTCATAGTTTTCAGTTGTCTTCTATCTATCATAGAGTAGGTTTCGTGGATTAAAAAGTTTTCTTATAAAGTGTTGCGAGTCACACGGTACAGCCGTGATGCGTGCGAATCACGTGTTCCGTGTTGTCGCTCGCGAAAGGCGATTGTCTGCGATCAGCCGACAACAGCGTGTTGGCGATCGCTAGGCACACGCGTTATTTCCTTATATGGTCATGTTATTCTCGTGACTTAATAATGCGAGACAACAGAAAGCGAAACATCCTCGGGAGCCGCTGGTCCCGGGTAACAGTACGTTTTTGCATAGCTCGGTGACAGGACGTATTCTTGCTTGTGCTACACGTTGTCGATTGCTCGTCGTCAATCGCGATTTATCTATTGCATTACTTTCTTATACCATCACTGCGTGCGGTATTTACAAAGTTTCTCGAGTATTATTGTAATTGCGTTTATACATTTCGGTTCTTGTTAACATTTCTAAGAGTGAGCGCGTCGCGGAACCCTCACGTGTGTGTTGTGCCCCTTCATAAGAGGAATAAACTGAAGATTAATTGTGTTATTGTTAATGCGCCGTTGTGTTGCTTTAAATGCCCCTTTCGCTCTCAAGAGACTCAAGATCACGTGCGCACATAAAGCCTTTCTCTACTACTATTCAATTATGGAAAACCAAAGGAAACATTTGAGACATGTAATGTTGCATTGTTTTAAAAAACACAATAGTCCTAATGATACAAAAAATGAGATTTGTATGGTTTATTGAAATGGTACTACAAGTGTTCAAACAGTTCGCAGTTGGTTTAGAAATTTCAGAACGGGTAATTTTAGTCTGGAAGATGAAGAACGTTGAAGCCGCCTATTCAATACCGACACAGACCTCATCGAAGTATGGTTGAAGAAAACTCGCGATATACTATTTGCGAAGTAGCCGATGCTTTAATAATTCCGCGAACAACCGTCCATAATCATCTGACAAAGGTGGGTTACGTCAATCGTTTAGATGTGTGGCTTCCTCATGACTTGACAGAGCCAAATATTTTTGCACGTGTTTTCACATGTGATTTGCTTCTTTAGCAACATAAAAACGAACCTTTTTTGAAGAGACTAGTCACTGGAGATGAAAATTGGATACTTTACGAGAATATTCAACATAAACGCTCTTGGGCCAAGGTAAGGAGCCTTTAATTATATCAAAGCCTAGTCTTCATTCAAACAAAGTTTCATTATGCGTTTGGTGGAATTGGAAGGGGGTAGTGTATTACGAGCTGCTTCTGCAAAGTGAAGCGATCAATTCGACGAAATATTGTTACCAATTAAATAAACTGAAAGAAGCGATTACTAGAAAACGACCAGAATTAGCGATCAGACGAGGTGTCGTTTTCCATTACGATAACGCGAGACAACACGTATCTTTAGTCGTCAGAAATAAACTATTGTCATTTGCCTGGGATGTTCTACCTCATACTCCATACTCTCCAGATATTACCCCTTCTGAATAATATTTATTTTTTTTATTAAAAAATTCTCTCCGTGGTAAAAGAATTAATTTAAGAAATGATATAAAAATGCACCTTGATCAATATTTTGCTAACAAACCTCAGAAGTTTTGGGAAGATGGCATTATGAGACTTCTGGAGAGTTGGAAAAATGTAATAGATCAGAATGGATCGTATATAATTCAATAAATGTTCATATAACAAAAATTATTGTACATTTCTTATCTATAATTAAAATGAAAGAATATATATATAAGAATATATATATATACAGGGTGTCCCAGACCACCCGTCTCACCCGATTTTT